AAAATATATATTATTATCCTGAATGAAAATGGTAAGTGAAGTTTTTTTATATTCCATCGGCAAATTTTACAATTATTAATACTATAAATTTAATTGTAAAGGCAACAAAAATATAAACATTCCAAAATGTAACACTAATTACAAATTAAGAACAATTGTGCTTTTTTACTTACAATTTGATCATTTAGGACTAATCCCATATTTAGACCCATACATATAACTAATTATTAGAAAATTAATTTTTAAAAATAAAAAGATATATTTAAAGGTGTATTTGACAAATAAAGATGATTTTTTTAGTAAAAAGAAAAAACCTTGGATAATTAAAAAATTTTCAAATAAATATATCTTAAAAAGATATGGATAACCAATAATTTTTTAAATATATTTTTTTAATCCATAAATTAAAAATAAGAATTAATTTTACTTATTTACATTAAATCTTAAGAAAATAAAAAAATAATTTTATACCTTTAATTATTTTAAATCTAAATTGGTTTTTCATTTAAATTTTAAAAGTTTTGAATAATTAAAAAATTTTGAATTTTTTTTTATACAGAGTCCAAAATAAAAAAATATCTTATACATCATTATAAAGTAAAATTTTAACAATTTTCTTATGTGTTGAAAAAAGAAATTGTTTACATAAACGTCCACATTAACAAATCTTATATATATATATATATATTAGGTTAGATATATTAGATTCAATGCCATACAAGCCACCATTAAGAAATTTTCTGATATATACATAAAGATCCACTATCATACTTTTATAGTTGTGACTCACCATAGAAGAATTAATTTTTTGTACTACTGTCGCAGAGTTTATTTCAAGCCATACAAGTTTTTCTTCAGTTTTATAACTAAGTACTCTTTGCCTTTCACTTCAAAACCTTTAAGTTGATCCATATAAATCTCCTATTGTAAGTCATTATGCATAAATACAATCTTAACATCAAGTTGCTCAAGCTCAATATTCAAACTAGCTGCTAATCTCAGTACCACTCGAATGGAACTCATTTTCATAACTGAAGAGAATATCTAAATCAAAATCGATGCCAAGTTTATAAAAAAATTCTTTCACCACCAATAAAACTTTGTACCTAATTAGTTGTTTATTTTTTTTCAACTTGAACACCTATTTATTCTTTAACGGCCTTCTCTTTTTTAAAAGTTTAACAAGATCATAGATACTATTTTTTTCATAATAACTTTATTTTTTTTTCATTGCTTTTAATTAGTATTCTCTATCCATAATAGTTTGTACATCTTCGAAGTTATCTGGTTCCTCCTCACCGGTAACTAAAATAAAATATAAACTTGGATATCTAATGAATGGTCGGTGCTCTCTAGAAAAACTCATAAGCTAAGACTCTACGTTACCTGATGTCGACGGTAGCTCTCCCTGTTCAATATTCTTTAGTGGAGAGAATTGCTCACCTTGCTCAACACTCTTTGGTAGAAGAATTGCTTATTCTACTCAAAACTAATTGCATCTGGCTTATCACTAACTATGGTTGACTCATTCGTATCCCTAATTTTTGTCTCTTGCTCATTTTCAACATTTGTAACTTTTTTTAACAGAACCACTATTGGTGTTGAAACATTACACTTAACAGTAACTTATGTAATCTTCTTATTACTCTCAAAGACTGTTATGATTTTTTTCATTAAAGACTACATCTCTATTTTTTATTGTATTTTTCTTCACTGAATCTAATAATCTATAGCTAAATTTTTTATCACCATATCTTACAAACACATACTGTATAACTTTATTATTAAGCTTTGACCTCTATTTTTTTGACATATGCAAAAATACTTTACACTAAAAAACCTTTAAATGAAAGTATAAAGCATATTTCCTTGTTCATACTCTTTCTAAAATGTTAAAGCTTAAAGAAACTGATGGTGATCTGTTAAGCAAATAACATGTTATATTGACTGCTTCACCCTATAATAGCTTTGATAATTTTATGATCTTTAGTATATATCTGATTTTTTTTATAATAGTGCAGTTCATCCTTTCAGCTATACTATTATGTTACGATATTTTAGGTTCATCAACTCATGTTCAATCCTATGCTTTGAACGGTATTCTTTAAAGTCTTTAGAGTTGTATTCTCTACCATTATTAGTTCGGATAAACTTCAAAGGCAACGCTATTATCTTTTCCACCATGGTATGAAATTTTTTGAAGTACTACAATACTTGGCTTTTTTTTTTTCAATATATATACTCAAGTCTTAAGTAAAGAATCACTAATAAAAGTAATAAAATACCTACCACTACCCAGTGACTTAACCTCAATGAGACTACATACATCAGAATGAATTAATTCCAATTTATTTTCTTTATGCCAAAAACATTTAATAAAGGAAACTCTACAATGCTTACCATGTAAATAATGATCACATGAATCTAAAGACATACTTTTGATCAAATAAATAAAAGATTGTCGTGCCAAAATCTGTAATCCCTCTCACTTATGTGTGCCAATCGTTTGTGTCACATATTTGCTGAAGCATCATTCTCAACGGTATTTATCTGGTTGTCATTTAATTGCATCAATGTCTTATACATTGTACAACATAGTTTTCTTTTGCAACTATCACAAATCTTTTGAGAAGCTTCCACTGTTTTTTTTTTTTTGTCAATTCTTATATCCTTCCTTATTAAGGATATTAATCATAAAGTTCATTTTGATATCTAAAATGTGTCTGATATCCCTCAAAGTCAACATGCAACCCGTACTAGTTTGTATAATAATATCACCAATCTAAACAATCTATAACACACTTATTTCTCATCTTGGTGCAACTAAAGTATTCTACTTTATAAGTTATAAATAACTTTCTCTTAGGAACATAATGATATATCACTCATATGTCCATGATCCACTCAATATTGAGATCACTAATAAATCGAAGTAACCAAATTACTATCTGAATTAACTACTGTAACATTATCATCATTTAAACTTTTACCTTTTTCATATTTTCACTCTTGTTTTAAATTTTTGCAATGTCGATTTATGTGACTTGGTTTACCGTAATAATAGCACTTCATTTTATGTCTGGACTTAGATTTATGTTTAAACTTACTACAACCTTTCAAGTTCTAATCCCGTTATCTATGACAAGTTTGATTATCAGAGTTTAATTTTTTTCGTCTTACTTCTTCATTAAGCATAATATCTTTTACCATCTCCAGTGTTACCTTGTAGTCAGAAGCTAAATTAAGAACATTTATAACAAAAGAATTTCAGTTGTTTGACAATGAATCCAAATGAAACAATGCCTTAATTTCATCATTCATTTTAAGCTCCATAATAGTCATTTAATTGAATATATCTTTAAAATTAAGTGCTTTGTAATTGATTATCTATCCTTGTACTATAAAGTTATAAGCTTTTTAATAGCTATAACTTTATTCATGTATGTTTTCTTTTCATACAATGCTGTTAATTTTTTTCAAACGATGTGTACATCTATCTCCTACGTTATATGATAGAACATGTTGATATCAAACTATTTTTTAATTGTGGCCTGTATCTTTCTGCTTAGCTTTTTTTAGCTTTCATTTTTCATATCTACTGGTTTAACCGAATCTCCTAATACTGGCTCATCTTAACAATATCAATGATCTTTCATCATTGGCTTCTAAATTGAATAATTTATTGTTGTCAATTTTATCATAGAATATGTATCACCCCTCATGATCTCAAACAGAATTTACTTATATCCTTGGTTGCTATTTTATCAATGTTTCAAAAATAAACATAGTTATGATATCACTTATTGGGCCTACAATGACAAATACAGCAATGGAAAAGAAATATATTATAGAAAAACCCACAAAAAATAATCAACAATCAATAATTCAAAATGTAAAAAAATAAAACACATCAAGATTTATATGAAAAATCTTTTAGTGTTAAGGAAAAAAATCATGTTTCACAAGAAAAATCTCCACTATCAAATAATATATATATATAAAGTTTTCTTTTACCAAAATTAGAGCTAATTAACTACTAAAAAAATAATTTGATAAATTTTATCAAATAAATGACTCAACAAATATATCATAAATTTGTTTTTGGAAAGTTTCAAACCTAATCTCCATTATTTAAAATGTAAAACACTAAATTATAAACGTACTAACAAAATTTTAATTCAATTGAATCATAAATTAACCTCCGTTCAACTTCTTGATCAATCTAACAACTCTTTTCTTTTTTTTGTTTTCTTCTTTGGCAACTTCACAGTTTTCATACCTACTTAATAAAACACAACCCTTACTTCCATTAAAAATAAGGCTTTTTGGGTTAAAAGTGAAAAAAAAAAGGCCCGTGACCTTTAATTGACTGAAACAATGGGAATGGGGCTGGCCCCATATTCCTAATAGGTATCTCGTATTTTACTCCAAAACTAAGTATGGTGGGCTTCTCATAGTTGGTCTTAGTTAGGATTCTTGTTTGTGTATCTTATTCGTTTCATGGTCATCCTTGAAAGTTAGGTGGGTGTTTCTTTTGTGATTTAATTTTAGGTGATCCTTGTTACTAAATAGATTTGTATTTGCGCTTGGGTTTTTGTCTTTGCTAGTCTTGATTAACTTTGTATAAGTAATAGTATTATACAATTAGTTCATGACTTTTCCATTACCCCTTCAAGTAATATTGATTTTAAAAAAGCCTGGTCAACCAATACTCAATATTCTTGCTCGGATACTCCATTCTTTACAATTTTTTAACCACTAGCCTGATCAGCATTCACCCACTTCTTCTCTTGGATTTTTTCTTTGGAGCCGTATCCATGGAGGAGCCATTAAAACGTATGAATCAATGAATGTGTAGTCATCGTGGATTCCATTGTAGAACTCAAAAATTACAAGAGAAGTTCCTTATATTCTAAAGTTCATTTTGCAATATCTGTTTCTAATCGCTTTTCACCATGTTTTTCTGTGGAGTTTAATTTCTAACCTGAGAAATATTTAGATCCATAATCCATAACTTTATTATCACAAACATCGATCAAAACGTATGAAAACCTTTAACAGGAATGAAACATTAAATTTGTTACAAAGGTGCTACCGGTGGCATGCCTATACCATCCAGTTACTTTTATTGAAATCTCCAAAATGCAAATTCAGGCCTAGCTAGCGGACATCATGACTGGTTTCTGGGAAACAAATAAAAGCTTATCTGGGGATCCAAGACGGGTGGAGTTTACATAATCCTGGGGACAATGAGCTGGCAGACCAGGGAACACCAATCCAACTACTCTGATACAAAATAACAACCACCCTTCTCTGTAATCTGGTCCCCTCTGCTTCACTATAGTGAAACTTCTTATCAGCTCATATATAGCATTTTTTAGCATGGGGAAAAAGGCCCAAATTGAGAAGTAGTTCCGGTATGGTTCTTCCTCAACAATCTGCATTGAAAACTCCAATCAGCGACTAAAATTCAATTTCTAATAACTTGAAAATCCAAAAATAAAACCATTGCTTACCAATGCTTGGTATTTGCTGTTGTGGAAGACACAGGTACCAAAGTGCTTGAACAAAAAGCGTTTGTTATCAAATGGAACCCTTGGAACAATATCATCACAGTAAACATATCTGTAATAATGAATTCCATTCTTGTTCAAATTCTTCAGCATGTAATTTCCGAACGTCCCATCTCCTACTCTCGGTTGCCCAAAAGTGTACACTCCTTCCATTCTCTCCAGCAGCAATTTGTCGTCATGGGAAAACAAAATTGCTGGGAACAAAATTGCTAGCGCACCACCCAAACTGTGGCCTGTCACTATAAATTTTGCTTCAGGATTTTTGCTCAAAAGGTCTCTCAACTTATCCCTTATGTCGTAGTATGCTAATGGTGCTCCGCGGGTTTGATCTGGCACGACTTGCTCAGGCCAACCAACAGTTTTCTGCATGCCTAAGGCTTTCATGAAACCACTATGAATCTTTCCAATGTTGGGGAATTCGTACCAAGAGATATCAACGTCCGAACACCAATCATTTGCATTAAACGGTTCAGTTCCTCTAAAGCAAACAACAATAGTGTCATGGTCATCTCTTTTATCTCGAAACAAGAAGGCTTGTGTACCGGCTTTTTGTAGGAAATCTGCCAAAGTAAAATGTTAAATAATTAAATCTATTAATAACTCATTCAATATTGCATATATAAAGATAGGAAACTATTATTTTAATTAGTGCCCAATACTATCGGATAAAGTGATATTTAGAAAATAATAAAAATAATCCATTAAATTAAAAAATCTTAAATATATAAAATTAAAGTAATTATTATATATCCTGAAAATCAACAGTTTAGGTAGCCGGTACCATTCCAATAATCTTTAAATCCCAAGTGATCCATCTGTATACAAAGATAGCAAACTATGTAAGTTCAATGATATTCAAGTAATCTAATTTTTTTTATCAATATATATATATATATATATATATATGTACACATCTAAACAAAATCATGAAATCTTTTCAAATACTTGCTCTTTAAAACAAAAAATTTCATTGTTTTACCTCCCAATGATCATTTACTATAGCTTCGGTATAAGCGGAATTATTATAAGCTGCTTTACAAGCCATCATCGAAAGTGCTGGATAATACGTGCCATCTCCATATTTAATGTCACGGTCTAGCTTCATTCTCGTGTCCACATATCCTATAAAAGAACGATAGTTTGCAGCCTCTCTGTCGGGCATCACATTCTTCCCTGTTGAAAGCACAACAATCTCATCCTTTTATTACTCTCCCCCTAAATGGGAAGTGTTTTTAAAAAAATTATGTAAAGTAGTTTCTATATTATATTGGATTTTAAGTCTTTTACATTTTTTTTTTTTGTGTTTTAATTTTTCGGCACAAATCAATCTATTCAACTTTCCTACTAGTGCAATAGCATTTGTACTTTGCTACTTTTCATTTTTTTCACAAGCAATTTTAAGGAGCTTACGTTCCGGAAGAGTTATATAAATGGCGAGAAAGGAATGGAAAGAAAATGAAGTTTGATAAGAAAAAAGACATGATGAAAAATATGAAAGAAAGAAAATTAGAAAAGAAAAAAACTTGTATAAACGCATGCAACATCTTCCAAGTTGGAACATGGAAACCAATATTGGTTAATTTTATGTCCTAAGATGCCATTTTGATCATCAAATATCAGTTAATTTATCTTTAAGTATCAAAGTGAAAATAATAATAACAAAGATTGTAGACGAAAATATACCTCGCAAGATATTAAGTAGGAGACCAAACAAGCCACCATTACTTGGCAGAAGGTTGAGCATGTCCTCTACAGCTGACCCCATCGTTGCCATTGGCGTCGATATCATTAACAGAAGTTTTTGTAACAGTATGGAGAGGAATATATGAAGTCTATACCAGAAATTTTCCATTTTTTCATGAGAGCAATCGATAAATTTTCTATTCTTTAAGTTACTAGAAAACAAGACATAAAAAATATCGATGAAAGTGGCTTGCTTAGGGTCCAATAGCAAATAACTGCTACAGAAGCCCTTGTTGCCAGCCTTGGCTTCCATGATCTACCTGGCAAAACAATACTTCTGGATTGTGAATGATTTTGGGATGCCTGCTACCCAGCTTTGATGCCAAATTTATAGACAGAAAAATAATGGAGATACAGAGTGTAGCAGGATATGAACTAGCGATTAGTTCTTTGGTTGATTGACTTAATTATAGATGGCTCATAATTTCTTTTATTTGTTTTTTTAATAAGGTTACGTGTATCTCTAAATAATACCGTAAATTAATTTGTTTTAATTACCCACTTCAAAGGAGTACTCCCAATATCGATTTTGCACGTTTAAAATTTTACTTTTAGAATGCTCCCCACAAAAATCAAATCATGATTGACTAGAAAAAAAACCCTTATTTGATCGACTGACTAAATTCTCATATGGTAGTTTCCACATGTTTTAATTTCACTTGTATACATAATAGTATCAGCCAATTTAATTGACTTTTCGTTTACCCCCTTCAAGTAATGTTGATCTTAAGTACTCGGATACTCCATTATTTACTGTTTTTTTTACCGGTAACCTGGTCAACATTCACCCACTTCTTCTCACCGATTTTTTCTTTGGAGCAATAAAGCATGAAGGAGCCATTAAAACGTGTGAATCATTGAATATGTGATTAACGTAGATTCCATTGTTGATATCAGAAATTACAAGTTCCTTCTATTCTCAAGTTCATTTTGCAACATCTCTTTCTCATAGCTTTTTACTATGTTTTTATGTTGAGCTTAATCCCAAAGTTAATAAACTAATATTACCCCAAAAGTAAAGAATAATTTCTATATCACAAAAAAAATCCAGTCTTTGATCACTCTTCTACGAAAATACGTTTAAAGCATCAATATCAATCAAAGTTGAACTAGCCTTCGGTGCTAGAAAATTTTACGTGTTATTCAAAATAGATGTCAAGTTCATGTGAATGTTTATGTAAATAAATAATAGTCATCATTAGAGATATATATGGATTAGATCTAGTCGGATTCGAATCAAATTCATGTTTAGTATTAGTAACTTACATTTTTACTTAAGTTCAAGTTGATTCGAAATTTTAAATTTTAAAAATTTTTAAAATCTTATTGAAATTAAAAAATTAAAATTAAAATTTACTCATTAAATTTAATTTATATAATAAAAAATTTAAAAAATGAGATTAACATATATATATAAATATTACAAATAAAAATTAAATTTAATAATATATATTTTATTTGTAATTTATACAAAAATTAATTTATATATATGAATTCGGATTGAATCAAAAATTTTAAATCTTTTGTTAAATAAATTTAAAAATTATATCTAAACTCATTTAATAAATTTTAATTTTTTATCTAAATTTTTTCAAAACTTAAATAAATCTTTGAATTTAAATAAATAATCCAACCCTCACCGGCAGCTCACTGTTTGCTTCTCTTTACTGTGGTTGTACTGCCCGATTCTTCTATTAATTAAAAAGTTTGTTTTTCAAATAAATAAATAAATAAACAATTCGCACAAGTTGATTGTGTGAAAGACACTCATGTTATTAGCTGAACCAAAAACGTTGAAAAGTATTATTTTGTGACCGTGTAAGTTGCATGCTTTCATATCAATAATTTTTTATTATTATTATTTCGTTGACAATCCACAAAATTTTTAAATTTCTCAAGTATAAATCTTTTTGAAGCTAAACTTCCCAAGTATAATTAAAATAATGTTGGGTGTATTGTTTATTATATATTTTTTAATATACTTTAACATTAGTTGGGTTTAAAAATTAATATATGAGATAATTTTTTATTTTTGGTATATTTAACAAATTGATTTTGTTTGCTAAAAAAAAAAAAAGACAAAATGATTATGTCAAAACATTCACCCTCCGATTACGTTGAAGTAGCAATTACATAATAAGGGCCCCACATTGTTTTGTTTTCTTTCTTTTGTTTTTTGTTTTTGTTTTTTTTCTATTAAATGACAAGATAGAAAATTTGTTGGCAATGTTGTTTTGAATAATAAACTTTGGATGAGTGAGAATGAATAAGAGAAAAGGTCAAAAAAAAAAAAAAAAAGAACACGAAAAATATGTATTTCGCTCATAGTGGTCATGCGATAAAGGTGCAAATATTATATTGTTGATATTTTGATTTATATGAAACAGTACGTAAAACCCATATGTAAATGTAAATAATAAGAAAGTCAAAACTTTTCAATGTGCTTTTTAAGTTGGCACATGAAAGATTAATTAGAATGATCAAATTAAAAAGAGTTACCAAAGTTGAAATTTAATGGATATTTTCAAGAATGTTCATCGGAGAAAACAAAATGTGAAAAATAAGTTCCATTTGTTTTGATCTTACATAAGGAAAGAGGTGACGAATCTTTTTAGATTCGATCTTATAAAATATGTTAAAATTTTTTAATAAATGGGTTATTATTAATTAATGATTTTAATATTTCATAAAATAAATTAATAAATTTAGTTTTAATACAAAATAAATATAAAAATTCAAATAATTTAATATGATCATCTATGTATGAGCGTTTCACATTTTATTAGGTCAATGTGATTTAACAATTGTGTATGCTTTCGGTCTAATAAATCTTTGATGGAAAAGTTTTTAAAGTTTTAATATAAATTGGTTAAGATCTTTTTTTCACTTCCAATTAATAGTATCTATTCATTGAGAGCCATCAGTGAGAAAAGAGCAAAAAGGAAGATATAATCTCTTTTCAGGAATTAGTGTTGCTTCTACTTATCAACTATGACTGTCCAAACAGGTACATATATATAATTATTGGTGTTTTAATATTCATATATAGTTCTTGGGATTTAGAATTAAGGTTATATATGGTATTAGAGCCTAATTATATGATTTTAGGACCCAAAATTATGGTTTTAAAATTTAATTTCGCATGAAATTAAGTTTTTGGCCGAAATCTTGTGATTGCCTCAATCTAACTTTCTTATCTTATTTTTTCCAAAATTGATTTAGGACTTTTATTCCTCTTTGAATAAGGATTAAAACTATACCAATTATTTTCGATAATTTGTTTTGTAGAATAAAAAATCAAGGATTAAAGATTTGGGTTTAAGATTTAAACAAAATTCAAGATTTAATTAAAACCTTAATATTTTACGGGTTTTTAATTTGAATTGTTTATTGAATATTGTTACCTATGTGTTATAAAGATGAAATAAAATGTTTAATTTCACAAAATTTTGGATTAGATGCCCAAATTTGAAGAAAATCGAGTTAGATTATGTATAAGTTTTTTATACAAAAATTTTAGGTGAAATTTATATTGATTCATGTTGTTTTGATGCAATTTAAAGCATGGGCTTTGTAAATATATGTGTTAATTAAAACTTAGATCATTTAATTACATTAAAACTCAAGGAAAACATGAAAAATCAAAGAAAAAAAAATCAAGTAACAAAAGAATGGGTATGAACATGAAATTTTGTTCTCGAATTTATGGTGATTTATGTGTTTTTGATGCAAATAGTGGCATGAGTTTTGTAAATTTATTTGTTAATTGCATGTTTAAAGGTTTAATTGCAAAAGAAAGCATCAAATTGGCTTTTAAACTGAAATATATCCAAAACGGGTCAAACTTAACCCATTTGGGTCAAGTTGACTTAGCTGAAGGTAGAATATAATGAACAATACTGAGTTTAAACAGTGCTAACACAATGAACAGTACTGAGTTAGCATAGTATTGAGTCAGTAAATAGTGCCATAATCAATAAATTGACTCATTTGGACTTATTTGGCTTCCTTTTTTTTTCTATTGTTTGTTCTGTTAGCTTCAAAATTTTATGCCATATTTATTTATTATTCTTATGATATTTAGGCATGTTGTGATTTCATTAGAGACATGTACTTTCCCTATTTGTTGTTTAAATTTACACACTTTTGGCCTAAAATAATATGCATAACTGAAAAAATTTAGTAAAATTTGTTTTTATTAATTTTTTGCTATCCAATTAAAATGCAACATACATTATTTTGAAAGACAAATTAAGTTTGAACTCTATGAGGTTTTGGTAAAGTGAGTATCAAAATGGTAATTTATTTTATAATTTTTTTATTATTAGATAATATTAAATTATTATTTATATGAAATAATTGGAGTTTAAAATTATTGTCCTAATTTATTTTTTTCATGACTATGTTGACATTATGAATCATCATTAATTTATGAAATTTATATTGTGATGAATGATACATAAGAATAAATTATGGATTTAATATTGATTTATTCATGAATTTCAAGATATTTGGATTTTGAATGCAATAAATTAGTTTTGATCTAGTGAGACACATTCGATTTAAGTAAATCATAAAGAGAGATCATATTTATAATGGTATACTGAAATATACATTAATTATTGGTGTCTCACTCAGGAGTAATCAGGTTTTAAATATTTAATGACCCAAAGAGATAAATCATGATTAAATATCTCACAAGAAATGGTCAAATTGTATATACTTAGTTAAATGCAAATTAAAACTTTGAAAAATCTAAATTTTTTGATGTAAGAATATACAATTGGTTAATATAGGTGTTTGGCTGTCAAAATGGTTTACTCATTGAGACTTGTAAGATTTTCTCATATATAGGAATGTGAGTACTTTTAAATTACCTTATACAAAAGCCTACCCAAAAGGGTTTATTGTGTTTGATAATTTGAAGTAGACATGAAGCATCATGGTTGAAGGCATGTTGGTTTAGAAGGTTTGTTTGCCCAAAAGTGGCAGGCTTTCAAAAACTAAAATATTTTTGTTTTGGCTTCATGTGAAAAATTCCTAATCTCATGTCACATTCTCTGCCCGAAAGGGAGTTTGTGATGTGCACTTCAACTTTTCAATTTAATTACAAATAAACATCTTGGACTAGTGCTATTTGTATGAATTGTTGCTTATATGTGAAAAGTTGCATTATTTTATCTTGAATATTAAAGTTGATTTGATGATAAAGATTAAGTAACTCTAATTAAAAGTGATAAAAGGTAATTTAGAGTTTAATTAAATCATGGGTGTTTTCTTTAACATAATCATTAAGTATTGAACATTTTGTTTATTATTGTCTAATTGTTTTAAAATATTGCATTTTGTGATGACAAAAGTTTTTTACTTAAGACAATTTGTGAATACTTTGAATATTATTGAGTTATATGAATCTATAAAAA